GGATCCGGTAGTCCGATATCCGGATCCGACCATCACTAATTTAGATATATCCACTTTTTCAGAGTTGACGGGTTTGGCAGGGTTACATTAAGGCTTCTTAAATACTTATAACTTTTTGACTAGTAAAGATATAAAGTTATAGTAAACTAGCAGCCTGCGTCACTTTGTGACTTTAAAATCCGTGATATATTTTATATAGGCTATAGCTGATAAGGGTGAAAACGGTTATTTCTCATTATATCCCTATTATTTTCATTGTGTGCGCGATCTCTTCGAGGCATCTTAGTAAAATTACAAATGCTAATGAAACATACTATGAAAACACAAAATCTCTTTTTAAATTTTAAGTAAATAACGTTAAAATACTTTACTTAAATTTCCTAAAACATCAATAAAACATACTATGAAAACACAAAATCCTATCACATCACAAATCCAACGTAAGTCATTTTCTTATTTACATTTTATACAAATAGCATTTACAAATAACATAGCATACAAATAACATATTTTACTTGAATTCACTGAAACATCATCAACTACAGATATAATAACCACATTTTCATATGGATGTAAACAAAATTGTATTATGGTTATCTGTTTTGATGTAAACAAAACAAATGTAAACTTGAAACTGTTCAGATGATTGACAACATAATTCAGCACAAACTCTGAAAGTTTAAAAGCCTGTAGGACGAAGGGCTTTCATGAAATATCATACAAACCTGCAAAAGGCACAGAGGATAAGAGCTTAAAATTGATACCCAATATGCCTATAAAAAAATATTTAGGGGTCGATTTGCTGCACACAAAAATCCAACCAATTCTTTTAATAATATAGATTCTTTCATTTGTTCACTAAATCTAAAGTTATTTTTACTTTTAACTTTATTTTCAATATTATTCAGCAACATTTTAAGTGGAAACCCCCAAAAAAATGTTTCTAAGAGTGCAATAAAATTTTCTGGAGCTTTTAATTTTTTCTTCAACGTGTACATCTTTGCGGGTAAACAAGATGCGAGTGCACAGACGATAAAATAGAATAGTCAATAGAATAGTCATTTATTCAGTCTTTAAACAATACATTATTGTAATTGACATCGTCATTATTATTGTAAAAAGATATAAGATGCAATACTTATATTAAAATTATACATGAAAAATCCAAAATATAGGCTGCCCTTAGTGTAACATTTAACAGGTTTAAAATAATTTAAAAATAGGCAAACTTAACAATCTTAAATTATGAATGACAGTGGGTCTTTCTTAAAAAAGGCTAATGGTTATCACAGGTTCTCAGATGGAATATGGTAAAAAACATATCAAAATAAGTGAACATGAAATATATGAAAATTAATTTCAGTAATACAAAATCCTATGGTAAAATCATAGCCTAACTTAAAAACATTTAACATTAGCAAAAGTATGTAAAACCAATAATTAACATATTTGAATGACATAAAAATGCTGCTTGAAGAAAATCCTGATGAAAAACTCCCCTTGAAGAAAAACTGCTTGAAAAAATAAACACTAAATAAATAATATTTTTATCCCAAAAGTCCTTCCTTGAATAATACGTTTTAGTCGTGAAGTCACCTTCAGGAAGATTACCCTGGTCAGAATTTTCCGTAGTATATATGCGTATCCCATTAAAAGATGTAGCCGTTAAAAGAACTTTCCTTTTAAGTGATTGTCCTAGTGATTTATTAATGGTCATTTGCAAATCTAACAAACTAACAATTTTTTCAAAATTGAACTCCGTTATTATTTGCCTGGTTTTGACGTTTTGTAAAGTCACCTTCAGGAAGATTATCCTGATCAGAATTTGTTGTAATGTAATACTTATCACCATTAAAAGATGTAGCCCTTCTTAAAGCAACATATAGTTGTCCATGACGGAAAACAGGTCTGGGTAAGAACAGTGCAATGGAAATTGTCATCCTTCCATTTTTAAAGGTAAGTTTTTTCCGACGGGCACATCTTTATCCTCAGAATCAAAATATGCCCCCCCTCTCAATTGTTCAATCTGTGTCTTGGCAATACGCTGACCAATTGCTCTATATTGTTTAAAAATTCTGTTAGGCATTCTAGATGGGCGTCTCCGCCTTCATCTGTTTTCGAGACCTACCTACTCTTCTTCCCCGTGGCATTACCTAACTTGTCAAGTTCTTGGGCTAATTCATTAATCTAATAGTTTATAAAAAAATATTACATGAAAGTTATTTGGCTTGGTCATTTCGTTGCTGCAAACCCAAAATAAGCTTGTTAGTAAAATAATCACGTTATAGGTTCAAAGAAATTATGTTTGTGTAACAACATATTCACATGAAGTAGATTATTTGTATGATTTATAAATACATTTGTTTGGTCGATCAGCTGTTTTATGTCAAATGAATGAATGCCAAAGATTTGTGATTTTAAATATTAAAGTAACGTTTTCTAAATCATGGTAACTTATTCTCAACAAAATTTTACTATTCCCAGCATTAAAAGTAGAGAGATCCATTATGAGTAAAATTTAAGGTATAGTGGTTTATGTTACCTTGTAACTGTCCAAAACGATCCTTTGTAGTTTGTTGTGACTACAGCTGTTTCGTGCTTTGGAAGGAGCACATCATCGGGTCAGAAGAATGTCAAACAGTAGTCATTAGATATTCCTCATGGTGGAGTTCGTCAAACGTTAAGTGGATATTCGCCCTCTGAAATTGTTCTGTATATAAATAACATGGACACGACATAAAACACAAAACTGAACATTTAACATTGGTCGACCAGACGGTAACGAAACTTGTGATACGGCACCAGTTGAGAGCAAGTAGCGACTGTCACGTGTCGTCAGCGTTGACCCCCGCCCCTACTCCTATGATATCCTTATCTTGTTCTTTTGTTGTCTTTCTATTATGGATTTGAATGGCAGTTTGTGTAGATGATGTTAGACTCAAATGATAATTTTTTTGTTCAATACATGCTGTGCCTTGTAAATTTCATTCTCTTCAACTGTATCCATGTATCGGCCTTTATTGTAGAACTGTATTATTTCTAAATTATTGTGGATATCAGTGCAATTGTGGTTGGAGGAAATTAGGTGGTTTGCGTACGCTGATTTGGAATTTATCTTAGGCTTATGTTCCTTGAACCTGGTAGAAAAATATCTTGAAGTCTGACCAATGTAAAAATTAGGGCATTCGTTACATTTAAATCCGTAAATTCATTTTTTTCCATTCTATTAGTTTCGGGTTGGAACCTCTCTTTGACGATGGTTGAGAGTTTATTGTTAGCTTTAAATGGTATGATCACGCCATTTTTAGCTAATTCATTTACTAGGGTGTGGTTCAGTACAACACCGTAGTTAGCGCTGACGTATCTTTTACTGCTATCTTGTGGTTTGTTATTGTTTTTATTACCTTGTCTATTAATCAATTTGTCAATCAGGGAACTATTGTAGCCATTTGCGACTGCTATATGTTTTAAAGTGTTTACTTTGTCGTTGTAATCAGTTGGACTCAGTGGGATGGAGAGGAAGCGGTGGACAAAACTATTGTATGCAGCAGTTTTATAGTGATGTGGATGGTGTGATAACGAATGAATTGTCTGATCTGTAGTAGTTGGTTTTCTGTAGATTTTAAAATTTAATTGGTTATCGCTTCTGGTAATGGTGACGTCAATGAAATTAATTGATTTTTTTTCTTCTATTTCAACAGTAAATTGCAAGTTCAATCTAAATCAAATCTAAGTAAATTGCAGTGAAATCTATTCAAGTATGTATGGAGTAGGTTTGATGTGCCTTTCGTTACCGTTGAATAAGATGAGGGTGTCGTCCACGTACCTAATATGATGGATTATTCTATTGAGGTTTCTGACCCAATGATGTGCTCCTTCCGAAGCACGAAACAGCTGTAGTCACAACGAACTACAAAGGATCATTTTGGACAGTAACAAGGTAACATAAACCACTATATGTTAATTCAGATGATCCAGAGGCCATACCATCATAAAATTTAAGGTACACCAACCTAAATTAAAATGTAGTACACATTATCAGTCATAATACCCAGTAATTATTATGTAGTAGACTTTGACTATATTCAACTAGCAAACATATGTTTCTGTAAATAATGATTATGTCCCATGTTATCCTTTTGGAAAAAAAACTGACTTAAAAGGCCGCTCACGTCCTTACCAATCTTGATCTTGAGTCAGCATGAACTTTTAACTGTACAAAAAATAAAAATAAACTTCCTACTTCTTAAACAGAAACAAATTTTGCTTATAACTATTTAACATGATTATAAACATTTTAAATAAAAAAAAAACTGTAACAAAATTTATTAAATTTAAAAAAAGAACAAGTGTAAGTATGCAACTGTAAATAAATATGTGTATATTAGTATTTCAAATAGTTAGTTGTAATGGTTGTACCTTAAGTAGTTGTAAGGGTATACATATAGGTTAGGCTATAGTATACCCTTAGCTTATAGTATAGATTATAGCTCTTAATTAATGAGTGCTGTAAATATGCCAAATGTATAATTATGTTTTATTTTTGACTTGACACAATTCTTGTATAGAAATGTACTGTTTGAATAAAGGAGATTTAGATTTGAATTTATTCGTTGGGAAAAATTACACGTTTAAACCTTTATTTTGAGACCTTAAACCTCAAAATCAGGTGAATAATAACGGAGGAGCTCAATTAAAAAAAACTGCTTAGCCTATTATATTTATAGAATAGATAGATATAGGTAGGTAGATTATCATTTTTATCAAACGATACATTCAGACAGCGACACAGTGCTGATGATTTTAAGCTCAGACCAATTATTAGACTAAAAGCACGATGGTCAAGAAAAGATGGGCCAACTTCTCAAAATGGTTCAATATCAAGTTGAAGGAAGAGTTCCATTTAAGAACTTCTTCTGCACCATCTGTATTTTACATTACATTCTGCTTAATCCATCCATACTGTATACTGTAACTGATCTGACAGTTTGTTTGTGCAGGGAGTGATGTGTCGGTCATTGGAAGGTCACGCGCACTGGGTCAACACTCTAGCCTTGTCTACAGACTACGTACTCAGGACACAAGCTATCGTGAATCCTTCTGACAATGTCAGCACTTCTGACAGTAAGTGGCTCTTCCTTCAAATTCATTCATTGTGCTAATTTACACTACACACCTACCTCCTCTTCAAGTTATTTAAAGCTAAAATAAAAAAAAATTAAAAAACTAGACTTTCTATTCCACACTTCTGTTTTCAAAATTCATATTACACTATGACTACAACAAAACAAAACCATGATAAATGAATTAGTTAAAAGTAAATATTCATCACATTAACAGACCAGGAGATTCAGGGAGCGGCAGAAATATCTGACGGTTTTTAAGCGAGTGCAGTTCGGCAGCCAAGTGGAGGGGGGTGGTGGGGAGCGGCTCATTCTCAAGGCCAAGTGACCCCATTTCAGTCGCCATGGAGCAGTGGACCTTGGACGGCCTGTAGGCCTACGTTTTGCAGTTGATCCTATGGATAAGGGTATCCACCCAAAATTTGATAGTGTTTCGGGATGGGATAGGTTCCCACGAGCCACATTAAAATGCCTACGAAACTTACGTTGCGTATCAACAACAGAATCGCTACTTTTTAAATACGCCTCAACGACAAACGCGCGATGTATACCGGTCCACTGCTCCATGGCGACTGAAATGGGGTCACTTGGCCTTGAGAATGAGCCGCTCCCCACCACCCCCCTTCACACGGCTGCCGGACTGTATTCGTTTGAAAGCCGTCAGATATTTCTGCCGCTCCCTGTATAAGATCCTCCCATCAAGTAGTATTACTACTCCAACATGAACCTTTTAAGAACTTTGATTTTTCGTCCAGCTTGTGTTTTAATTTCATCTTGAGTATTTTTGTTTTTAAGTCCATCAATATTAACTTCTTTTTACACGTTTATATCTTTTGATCAGATTTCAAGCGGATACAATCTTTGTATCGTCCTCAACAACGTCCCACGTCCTGTACTAAGTTTTACAAGTCTGACACTCTTGCCTGGTATAGTTTCAATGACAAGACCCAGAGGCAAATCTATTCTTTCCATGTTTTTATATTCAATTAAAACAACATCTCCTATTGAGGGTACATTTTTAGAACCTTTTATGTTTGATTTTTTTAACCAACTGACCCAAATATTCTTTTCTAAAACATCGTCTTAGATTTTGGATATGTTTCAATCTTCTGTTCAAGCTTTGCTCATCTATTTGGTCAAAGTCTGTTATACCACTTTCCCTAGTTTCTTAAAGAAAGTGGTTTGGTGTAAGTGGTGCTAATGCAGAAGTTCCATCATACACACACATAAGCGAGAGGTCTCAAATTTATTACTGCTTTGCAGTTACAAAGCACAGTAGACATTTCTTGATAATCGAGACAGGCCTTTCCAAGCACTCTTTTAAGAAGAAGATATTTTACTATTCTTATTAATGTTCCCACCAACCACCCCACCAAGCTGCTGTTGGGGGATTAAATTTCCAAATAATTCTCTGAGCAGAACTATTAGCCCAGGCAAATTGGACATATGCTCCCACAAAAATCGTCTAAAGCTGGAAAGTGTTTTAATACCTTTTGGGGGCCCCAAATAAGACTCCTGTGAGTGTGCGACGGATTCTGACGTCTGCTTAAGTTTTTGGGAGTTGAAAAACTATGAAAATTTTGTACTTTTTTCAGTTTTTCGCTTATAACTCCTAAATAACGAATCCTAAGGAAAATGTTGTTTAGAGGTGTTTTTTAGTGCATTAAGTTCCGCGTCCATTGATGTTAAATACGTCAAAATCGGCCGAGCCGTTTAGCCGCTGTAGCTTTTCAAAGTTGGGATATTTTCATCAACATGGCCAAAAGGTTGATTATTTGACCAGTTTTTGACTTACAACTCCTAAACGACGCATGCTATACAAAAATGCGCCTGTAGTTAGTTTGGAAAACACAAAATTCGGCGTAGAATTATGATTATGAATGACTAGATAGTGGTTTATTTCATGGTTATCATCCAGAGGTTTATCCAAGAATGTGGGAAGGGAAGGGTAGCAAGACCCCCTATGCAATTTTAAATCTAATATTGTTGAGGGGGTTACAAAAATTCTAGGATTCGTCCTAAGCTTCCATTTATACGATCCCATCTCTGGACACTCCCGAATGATGTTAAGCGATTGTAATAAGATATTACAACGAGAAAGATTTTATTAAATATAGCAAAAATGCTATTTTTTAGCTTAATAAACGAAAGATGATAATGGGACGGATGTACATAGTTTTACTATGTATTTAGCCTATTAAAAAAAAGATTGGGATTTTTCGTAGATTTTACCATACAACTTTTCTACTTCTCATCATTGGAATCTTAAGAATAAGGATTCATTCTTTGCTCTTATTGGTCTTGCCACAATAATGACATTCGGTACCATCTTTTTCGTCGGATATCGAATTGAGATAATCGTGCCCCTTGCAAGTCTTTCAGACAGTAGTGCATTATATCCCTGCATTTCATATGGAGCGAGAAAATGTAAACCTTTTTAACATGTACACGATGGTCGAGATAGGTAGACGGAGTTGAGAAGTTCTTGTCGAACCGGTGGATTAGCCGTAGTGATGGGAGTTAACCCATTGACGTTAATTTTCCATACCCATCTCTCTGAATTAAGTACAATTTTAAATGAGCTCTAAAGGATTGGTGGATGAGCAGCCCCTTTTGTTAAAATCAAAGTCAAAATTAGTTGAAAGTGTCCTCTAGAAGAGACCAACCCTCACTTGATTTGGATATTTTCTGCTCCCAACCATGTATAGGGCCAACCTGCTTCTGCAACTTCGCCAAGCGTTGTAACCCGTCAGAACATAGTGAGATCCATATTGATTGGAGTAAACAGCATGAGTAGTTTTAGGCTACATGCATAGTTAGATTTTCGACTCTTCTACATCACGCTTTCTTCATCAAACTGCGCTAGTGGGTACGGACCTATTTTTAATCCAAAGTATGATTCAAACTGAGGCTTGGATTTAATGAGGAATATCACGTGTTGACTGAGGGGGCAGATTCTTCTTTAACCTTTGCTGTTGCCATCACAGCTCACGATTAATGTCACCACTTCCTTTTATTCTGCACAGTTTATGGTCATTATAGGCTTGCCTATTTACGATTTTCTTGCAAGCTGTGCCTTTCCATTATGCTTTATACATATCTCGCGTTGATGCTATCATATGGGATAACTGTTGAGCTGATTGACATGAGCAAACTATTTTCAGTAAATGGGTCGTGACACTGGAACCATTTGATGAATTTCTTTTTGATCCCACGGTATCCGTGGAGTTTATATTGTCAACTTGCTGATAATATGTTGAAGAGGTGATCCCACAATATACCTTAACTTGATGGGTAGCATTCACTGCGATGGGCCTGCCAGCGAACCATCGGGCTAGATCCACATCATTGATTCCCCTATCTCGGAAAAAGCTCTCCACAGTAAGATGTTGCTCTCATGAGCACTTACTTGTTCATAGGCCATGCTGCACGATCCATGACGTCACACTAGTGGATAGGTTCACTGCCATATCCCATATGTTTTTTGTAATTAGGCTGGTTGCTTGCCAGATTTCAATGGTAAGATTTTAAACTTGACAAGCATCTGATCTAGTGTTAACAATCAATAGCGGTTAAATGGTAAAGCCGATCTTAATGAATTGGAAAACATTCTACGCAGACGTTTATGCTCTTCAAACTAACTACAGGAACATTTTAGCGAATTTCCCTATAGGGAAGTAGCTATTACCGTAGGTGGCACGGTAAGACCTAGACCCGGGACCGATTTACTTTTTCATTTTGATGTCCCCAGAGGCCAAAAACACCATTCGTTCAAATTTTTATATATGTATATATATATATATATATATATATATATATACGTCCGTGAACGCGATAACTTGAGTAATTTTTGTCCGATTTTGATGAAACTTGGTTTAAAGGTGTAAAGCGGAATAAACTTGAATGAGTTCGCGAACCAGCACGATCGGACCATGGGAACGGGGCTTTACGGGGGGTTTTATGGGGTAAAAATTGGTTTTTCTCACTTTTGACCCTCAAAACACAAAATTTCCCGATTTCTCTTTAGACCTTTTTAAAGAGCTTAAAAAAACAAATAATTTAGTATATAAAAGTATTTTTGTTCGATTATTAGTAACGGAGAAAATTAAAAAAATTGTAAATTTAAAATTCCCATGTTATTCTTATGGAGAATATTGTCAAATGTTGTAGTTTGCTTGTTTATGGATATATTTTGATCAAACTTGGCAAATTTATTTATTTTGTACTGAGCTATCAATATTTTACTCAAAAACACACTTTATTAGTTTCCTTGTAGCAGCAAACCTAAGTACTCGTTAAACCTAATGTTATTAAAATATATTTAACTGAAAATCAATTCAGACAAATGGAAATTCGCTTAGTCGGCAGGTTTGCTGCAGCGGGGGTATTTTCTATAGCATGCGTTAGAAGATGTAAGCCAAAAACTGAAAAATGAATACAGGGATAGATCGTATATAATGGATGGTTGGGATGAATCCTAGAATTTTCGGAACCTCAGACAACAATATTAGACTTAAAATTACATAGGGGGTCTTACTCTCATCACACCTTATTAGATAAACCTCTAGATGACCATCATGGAATAAACCACTATCTAATAATTCATAATCCATTTAAGGACAGGATCTATGTTGTTACAAATTTTATTAAAATTTCCCAACTTTAACTTTAATACTTTTTTTCAATGAAATGGCGTCCATACAAAGTAGGTAACAATCAATTGCCGTTATTGATTATTAAAAAAAACACATTATACGCAGAATTTTGTGTTTTCCAAACTAACTACAGGTGCATTTTTGTATAGCATGCGTCGTTTAGGAGTTTTAAGCCGAAAACTGGTCAAATAATCAACCTTTTGGCCATGTTGATGAAAATATCCCAACTTTGAAAAGCTACAGCGACTAAACGGCTCGGCCGATTTTGACATATTTAACATCAATCGACGCGGAATTTAATGCACTAAAAGACACTTTTGAACAACATTTTCCTTAGGATTCGTTA